GACACAGGTTCCCCAGCAACCACATGGTGGCTAATAACTGTGCTTAAGTCCAGTTCCAGGGGAATCCAACACCTTCCTCTGATCGCCACATGCATTGAACAACCCGGGTGCACTTACATATATGCAGGCAATACACACATACACATAAAAGAAAATAATAAAATATTAAAAAACAAAACAAACAAACAACAAAGGTGGAAAGCAATAGAGGAAGATACTTGACACTAACCTCTGGCCTCCATACAGGCACACACGCACGTGCACACACACATATGCATACCTCCCCACCCCCAATTCCCAAGAAAGGACGAATTCTTATAAAATCGGGTACCCTGAACCAGGCAGGTATAACTGCTGTGGAGGCAAGTGCAGGTGTCCAAGCAGCAAGGCAGTAAGAACATATAGCTACAGACCATGTCCACGATTGCAGGGAAGATGGTGCCACATCTCATTACCCTCCACACTTCTCTCTTCCCTCCTTCCTCTTCTATTCAGCACCAGAAAACAAAAATGAAAACAAAAAACCCAACTTGCTCTTGATTCTCAAGAAGTTAGACCTTCAGGGTTGGCAAGATGGCTCAGTGGGTAAAGCACTTGCCACCAGCCTGAGGACCTGTTTCTATTTTCTATCCCTGGTACCCACATGGTAGGAGAGAAGTGATGCCTGAAAATTATCTTGACTTTCATATACATATGTGAACACACACACACACACACACACACACACACACACACTAAGTTAAATGTAGCAGATTGGAGAAATGGCTCAGTAGTTCAGAGCATGTGCTGCCTGTCTAGGGGACCTGAGTCCCAGCACCCATGTTGGGTGGCTCACAACTGCCTGTGGCTCCAGCTCCAGGGGATCTGATGCCCTTTACTGGCCTGTACTCATGCCAGAAATCAACATTCACACACATACACATAATTAAAAATAATTTTCTTTTTTTCTTTCTTTTTCCTTCCTTTCTTTTGTTGGTTTTTTTTGAGACAGGGTCTCCATGTAGCCCCAGTTGGCCTGGAACTCACTATATAGACCAAGCTGGCCTTGAACTCACAAAGATCTGCCTGCCTCTGCCTCCTGAGTGCTAAAGGCATGTGCCACCAGGCCTGGCTAAAAATAATTTAAAAAAAAAAAAAGAAAGAAAAAAGGCTTGTCATGGTAGCACAAGCCTTTAATCTCAGCACTCAGGAGGCAGAGGAAGGATTTCTGTGAGTTTGAGGCTAGTCTAGACTACATAGGGAGTTCCACA